AATGACCTACCCTGATTAGCAATTTCTCCCATACTGATGGGTCCGTTAAAAATGGCATTACCCTTAACACACTGATGGTAGTCATATGGAATGACATTCCATTGCAGAAGCTTGGCCAGTCTCACACTTTCTCATGACTTAAGTATCGAAACCACTCAGACTAGAAATCTATAGTTATATCTTTATATTTAAGCTATTCTTTATACCACTGTAATAATGTTTGATTTTTTTTTTTTATGATAGTCACACAGAGAGAGAGAGAGAGAGAGGCAGAGACACAGGCAGAGGGAGAAGCAGGCTCCATGCACCGGGAGCCCGACGTGGGACTCGATTCCGGGTCTCCAGGATCGCACCCTGGGCCAAAGGCAGGCGCCAAACCGCTGTGCCACCCAGGGATCCCAATATGTTTGATTTTTATTTGAACACTTAATGTTGAGATTGCGGTGATACAGCGATTCACATCTTGCAGAGAAATTAAATAATTTGGCAGCCTTCATAACATTTCTCCATACTCAAGGAGACACCAGCACCTGGAATGTGATGCTTGGCTCAACTCCGTGTTAAGAGGCATTCTTCACCTTGAAATATGTTCAGAGCAGAGGGTGAAGCACAGTGACAGGATGGGTCCGGTCACAGGGGCTCCACCCCAGTGCATCCCTCCAATGGTTTCCTCCTCTCCCTTGTTCCACATAACCCATCACTGACGTCCTGTGGATAGCATCTCAGAAATCTCACTGTGTCATCCCGGCCTTTCCACAGCACTGCCAACACAACAGCTCCCACTCTCTCCCAGATCCCACCTTATTCAGTAAGGCCAGGTTAATTTTCCTAAAACAACATATTTTATAGGAGGAAAAAAGAAAGGTCATACCTTTCAGACTTGATTCAAGATCCCTCATGAGTTTGCTCCAACACAACCTCTCCATTTAAACCTTGTGTATCATGAATCAATCTTTTCTTCCAGATATACCTCAGGATTCACTTTTCCTCATCCAATGTTTAGACCTTCCCATATCTGTGTCTTTCTTGCTTATTGCCCTCTCTTCCCATATATTCCAAAATTTCCAATCCAAATACTCTTCGCTCTTCGGTGATCACTGCAAATGCTACTTCCTCTGTCAATCCTCCCCTAATAATGTCACCCAAAAATAATCTCTTCCCGTACACTTATCTTTCATAGTACACCACTGTAACCTTCTTGAGGGCAGGTTGTGGGCCTGATTTCTATTTACCTGATTCCAAAGCCAGTAACACCTTGCAGGAGGTAAAACAAAGATTGCCAACTGAATCTTGCAAGCCAAAGAAAACCAGTAAAAAGAGCCAATGAGCATTTCTAAGTGAAAGAAGTCAATGTATGCTTCCAACTATATGACATTCTGAAAAATATGAAACTATGGTGATAGTAAACAGATCAGTGATTGCCAGGAGATGGAGAGGAAAGAAGAACCGATGAGCACAGAGAATTTTTAAGATGATGAAACTATTCTGTAGGACAGTATAATGGTGAAGACATGTCATTACCCATTTGTTGAAGCCCATAGGATGTACAACACCAAGAGTGAACACTGATGGAAACTGTAAGTTTTAGGTGACAATGATGAGTCAACACAGGTTCATCAGCTGTAACAAATGTACCACTCTGATTAGACTCCTTTGCCTGTGGCTCAACAATCAGAATGCTGAGAGCCAGGTGTGAGGCACCATATCCCTTTCTCCAGAAAAATGGATAAACCTACAAAAGCTCCTTCTACAACATGGCCAGATTACATAATCACGTTACTGTGACATCCACCAGACCTCAATCCCTGCCCAGGTGCACAGGGCCTCTAATCCAATTTTTAGATCCATTCCTAAATATGAACAAAGAGCCAAAGATAAGTAGACATTTGAAAAGAATAGAAGAAAAAAACCCAGAATAAACAGAGACATAAAGAGAAAAGAAAAAAAGCAATACAGAAAAGAATGGAGAAAGAGTCTGCATCTATGAAATAAATACCAGAAGCTGTACTTGAAAAACTAAAAAAAGAAAAAAAAAAGAAAAACCATAGAATAAGCACAACTTTTTTAGAAGTTAAAAATGTAAAAGCAGAAAATAAAAGTTTAATAGAAAGAAGCTAAGGAAATCTACCAGGAAATAGAACAAAAAGACAAAAATAGGAGCTATAAAAGAAGAAAAAAAAAGGAAAAACAGAAAACTATCAATTAAATAATGCTAGAAAATTTCTAAGAAATGGAAGACACAATTTTCCTGAGGAAAAGGCCCACTAATCACCCAGCACAGAGCCATATTAGGTATCCAAACATTAGCCCTCACATGCCTTTCTTCTCAGTGAACTACTTCAAGATGGATTTTAGGAGGGAATAAACCAAGAAATTCCCTGAAATGAGGGATTAACCTCAATAGTGGCTGCACAGCATCCAGGAAACATGTGATTGAACTCGAGACAAGCAAAGGGACTTCCCAGGCATAAGGTCCAGGGAGCTGCAGGTGATAGGGCTATAGGGCAGGCCTAGAGATCAAAGGGAGAGGCCTCCAGAGGGAGGTGGGAAGGACCAAGTGAAGTAAGGGAAGGGCTTCTCCACATAGCTCTGCCATCTGTCAGAGTCTGGAAATAAAATCATGATAGATAAATACGAAATTAAATAAAAATGCATTCACTCTGGAGAAGAAAAACTCCATGTCATTTAACAAAGGCAGTAGAATATAGTCCCAGCTGGGAACAACAGCTATGTCATCATAATGATAAAAGTACTATAATTTAAATAAAAATTGTCATTTAAGTATACAGGGACAAGAGAGGCAAAACCACAATGGGGGAAGGTAATAAGAGAACCAGCCTAATTTTCCATAGCAAGGAGTTATGACATTTAGATACCCTATATGTCAGACATGACAGTATGAACATATCCATAAGGGATGGAGACAAGAGAAACAGCTCAGAGTTGAAAGTGGTTGTCACCAGTGCAAAAAGTTTTTTTTTTGGGGGGGGAGTAGGAGATGGGGGGTGGGGCCTAACCAGTAGAGAGAGAAACATATAGTACTTACCAGTCAACTATTTAAATTGTGTTTATATTCTATTTTGATAAAATTAACACTTGAATTAAATAAATGAAGGGCAGGATGTTCAGGGCTTGCAGACTACTCCTTTGAGAAGCTTAAATATCCTAGGAAAATAAATGGTCCAGACACGGTATTTTTTGTTACTCATTTTTTTAAGTTTGAGAAATACTGAAAAGGCGGAAACGACAAAGAAGAAATTATTCCAGCAGCATGAGGGAGACAGGACATCTAAAGGGGCAAGCTGTCTAAGGAGGCAGGAGTAAGGTGTCTGGAACATGTGTATCCAAGTTAGGCTGAGACAGACAAGAGACCTCTTCCCTACTGGTCAGGGGTGGAGGATAGAGGAGACTGCAAGGGAAAACCATATGATCAGAGAGTCGAGGCACTGCTAGATAGTCTGTTTTGGGGATGAGAGACGGGGCAGAGGAAAATCATGAATGTTTGAGAAGGTACCAGAAGGAAATGTTAAATTCAAGTTGGTCGAGTTAATTGGATCCTAGTGCGGAGGGTATTCGTACTCAGTCATTCCTCCATGCTTCCATATTTCATAACATATTTACACTAGTATTTTAAAGGATTGCATTTTCACTAAACTATGACTCCTCAAGAATAGTCTTATGCATTTGTATGCAACCAATACCCACTCACCATGGTGCCTGATGTGAAATGCATTTTTGTTTTATAGATACATAAATATTTATTTCCAGAAATACAAAGGCATGTCAATACAACAGTACACATATATTACATTAATATGCTTTTTATAAGCCAAGACAGCCAATATTTAATAATTTAACTATATAGTTTAAAAATAAAAATAAAGCATAATGTCCCTGACTGATAGCTCCCCCACAAAAAAAAAAAAAATCTTATTTGAGTTCAAATTTACAACTGAACGGGTCTCTCTTTGACTCCATAAAGTAACACCTAGAATCTGTTTTGGATGATGCTCATACTTTGACTAAACTCAGAACATCAGGGAAGACTACATGATTCTATGACTAGCTCGTGGATTCTAAATTAAAGTTCAGGAACATTCACAATGAATTTTAAAAGAAAAATTCCATAGTTGGAAATCAATGACTACTCTGTTTCAAATAATAAACCTAAAGATTTTATGGTTTGAAATATCAAGTCATTGATTCAGAACTAGTTTACGCATAGGTGATCTCTGTTCAATTAGTACTTTCTAGTATTTCAACATACTCTAATTTTATATTCTGTCCAAGAGAGAAATCCAACAATTCACTAAGTGTAACGTTAATTCTAATTTTTAAAAAATTCTTCTTTCTTCTCCTCTACATTTATGCCAATTTCCAACACCTTTTCCACAATACATTTCAAATCCATCTCAAACAGGCTCAAAGGAGAGGAGAGCTAAAAATAAATAAATACTAATCTGAGTTCTGTTGGCCATTTCAATCTTTAACCAAGTTTAGAGGAGATTTTTGATTGCTATTAGTTAAAATTCTTCTTGCCACGTTAATATAGTAGAGAAAATTAATTTGAGAAGTCTATCTGGAATGCCAGATTATGTCCGTGAATCCTGATTTTTAGTTTTACAAAGTAGTGAAACAGAACATTATCATTTTCTGAATGAATTAAACTAATAAACAGTTTAGGACAAAATACAGACTAGTACACTTGCATATACTTTTCCTCAAATCCCACAAAGTTTAAGTTGATCAACTAAGGTTGTTCCAGCAACATCATATAACACAGAACCACCAAACTACCACCGTCATAATTTCATCCTTTTATCCTTTCAAAAATGTTTTAGAAATTAATTTCAAAAAAAATGCATCTTATAGCACATTAAGCTATCCTGATAATGGTACCATGTTTATTCTACCTTTAAAGTCATACAAGCCAAATCAATTCAACAGCTCCAGGAGGACTTCTAATTTACAAAGGCATGCAAAAGCATCTTCTAATATACCTGATTTTGACTTCAGGATAACCTGAATGGTATGTCCATCGTTGGTGACTTCGCAGTCTCGGCAGACCACATAATTTGGGGAAAGGCGGACATCCAGCAGTGAGGGGTCATATCTAGCTTCTCTTGAGTTTAAGTTGATGGGAGACTGGTACTCCCCATTAGCATCAGGAAACACCAAGCCCCACTCAACACCTAAGCACAAAATGAAGCAAATTTAGAACAGGTTTTAGAAAGTCGCAGTAAAATCTAACATGTAAAAGCTAGTTTAGACACTATGATCCTTGACACTCTTAAAGTCGTGACTACTGTCTGTCTGTAGATGAGATGTGGCAAATGGGTAGGAATTTCTGCATTCACATTCTCAACGATCTAATGCCACATACAAAATCGTGTACTAACAAAATATTCCATTTGTATTTGTCCACGTGGACGCAATAATTCATGACCCTGGGAAATTTAGGTCATCTTTAAGGGATCAAAAAAGAATTAATCGTTCCACAACAATTTCCTCTGCCCGTTCGTTCAACTACTGGGAAACAGCTGAAACTCCGAATTTGCTTGATAAGAGCCAAAACCCGTAAATCTGTGGCTAGTGAATGAACACCTCTTATCAGAAATGCACATTTCGAGGCGGGCATACGCGCACACACGCACACCGGTACGTTCTCAAAGCACGGACGTATATCCTCTTGCCATATTTCACGACTAAAGTCATCAGTCCCACATCTGGTGGGCAGCAGCACCAGGGGCCAAACCTCTCGAGTCCTACGTCGCCCGCGGGGAACGCAGCCGGCAAAACTTTTTAAAAAGTCAACCCCCTTGGGGCCGCACCCACTGATTCGGCTTGCGGCTTGGGACTGCTCTAGAAGTGGGGCGTCGCTAGCATCCTCCGCCCGGGGCCGCGGCAAGAACCCTGCCCGGCCGGCCCGGAGCTCGCGCTCGCGCCAAGGCGGCTCTCGCTCCCCAACGGGCCGGGCCGGGCCGGGCGGGGCGGGGCGGGCCGGGGGGCGCACGCGGGGAGCAGGGGCGCGGCGGCGCACGGAGCGGGGGAGCCGCGGGGACCCCGGGCACCCCGCCCGCCGCGGCCGGTTACCTTCCTCGTAGCCCCACTCCACCCCCTCCTCCTCCTCCTCCTCTTCATCCTCCTCCTTCTCCGGGAAGGCGACGGAATCCTCGATGAAGCTCAGGTCAGCCATGGGCAGGCCGGGGGTCCCCGGGGCGCCCCCGCGGGGAAGCGTGCAGGGGTGGGAGTGCGCGGGGGCGGGGGCGGGGGCGGGCGGGGGCGCGTCCCGACACCCGGGGAGCGCGAGCGGAGCCTCGGCGCGGGCAGCGGCTGCCGGCGGCTTATAAACCCGGCCGGGGCGTGTCTGGCGCGGGAGGACCCGCCCCTGCGCTCGGCGGCCCCCGCGCGGGGCTGCACCGGGGGGAGCGGCACCGGGGGGAGCGGCCCCGGGCTACCGGGTACCCCGGTCCGGGAGCCGCGCGAGCCCGCCCGCCCCGCCGCCCGCTCCCGGCTCACCTGCCCCGGGTCGCCCGCCGCCCGCCCCCAGGACCCCTGTGCGCGGGCCCTCGACCCGGGGCTTGCCACCTTATCTGCTGTCGGTTTTACTGCAGGAAATACAAATAATAATAATAATAATAATAATAATAATAATAATAATAATAAAATAAAATAATAAAATAAAATAAGCCGACGGGCGGGTCCGGGAGGACAGAGATTCATTGCCACGGGTAAGAGAAAAGAGAGGGCTGCACCGACCCCGTAAGTTTTCCACTCTGGATTTTTATCACTGGCTATTTACTTTATGATTCGTCCTTAGAGGACAGTGGAAAGGAGCATGGAAGAATTTCCGAGAAACTTGCCCTTCCTAAAACATGTAAGACAAAATTGTTTTAGAGAAGTAGATACTATTTGGCTTTTTGCCTTTTTTTTTTCCCCATTAATTTGTTTTGTTTTGTTTTGTTTTGTTTTACCTGAAAAGCAAGGGGAGTGGAAAGCAAAACAGAAAGGGCGTTTGGTTTTAGTTGCGGAGTCTGGGTGCTGCTGCAGGCACAGCTTGCTGTGTACACAGTTCCCAGAGGCCTTGTGAAATCGTGTAAATAATGAAATGCACACATTGCATAACAAACAGGAACTTTCCTGATCAAAGAGGTCGCATTGTTACCTCTTAAACATGTACCCGGTGACTTAATGCCTTCTGCCCCCTGTTTCAATGCGTTTTAAAAGCCCCAAGCTGAAAACCCCTGAGCAAGTTTACTCTGCATTTTTAGAAGGTGTATATACGTAATAAGCTCAGATTTGGACCTTAAGCAAAATTTGTTTTTATATGCTCCGTGCACGCACCAAAATGTCTATTAGCAGTTGGAATAGCCAGTTCCTAAATCACACCATCTGTATGAATGCTTAAATCCTTATAGAAGGATGGAGATTCTCCTCCTGGGGATTTTTAGGTTCTGTGCTCCTAGTCTTCACTGCCTGCTCAGCCCTCCACTTTTTTAAAAAAAGCCACCTAACAGGTTGTTAGAAATTAGCCCAGAAAGAGAGCTGGGATTGAAGGGGGGGGGGGCGGGGGGCAGCTCAAATCACTCAATTCTGACACTTTCTGGAACATTCGGCAAAATAGATGAAAACTATTGGTCAGCTTTAGCTTTGGGGATTCAAAGCATTCATTAAAAAAAAAAAAATGTTTCCCCTTAAGATAGAGACTAGAAAGTCTACCATTATGAGGACTTGAGCCACAGTCTAAGGGAGATGAAATTCATTCCTCACTCACTGCCTTTTGGGTGTTGTTTAGTGGATACCCTCTCTCCTCTGCTCCCTAATAAGCCTGAGATTGACAGAAGGGTAAGTCTACCCTAAAGCTATCATTTTTAAAAGTAATAAGCACTACCCAAAGTATTAACCATTTTTATTGAAGTTCTTCTAAAAGGAACATTTCACTTTTCCCATTGTTGAAAACTTTTTCACAATCTTGAAACTTTCATTAAAGTCTCTTTCTAGAAGGATATTCACACATGAATCAAATGCTGCAGCTAATGGAATCTGTAGAAAATAATACAATCATTTTGCCACCCTGAGCTCATAAGCAATGTCCATTCTGCTCTGCCCAAACATGCATAGATGCCAAACTTCAACCATTGTGTGACCACCAATTTCATTTAAAATATCACATGAATTATAGAGATGTTTACCAAACCAGAGGACAGCAAAATTACCCTGGCAGAAAAACTCAACGTTCCATGAGTAAATGGTGTGCCATATTTATAGCAGACAGGCAGAAAGATTGAATTATCAATATTGAATTTTGCAGCTAATAGGCCATTTTGTATATAGCCAACAATATATCACTATTCATAAATTCAGTTAACTACTAGACAAACATATGTTTACCCATATTTGTTCTTTCTAAATTATTCACCATCATGTGTATAATGTAGCTCCCCACTGTAAGGCTAGGATATCCTACCCAGCAACATACGAACCATTCCACTATGCATCCAAGTATTCAATTAACAGCCTTAATTGCTTTGAGACTGTGTGCTTCAGACTTCTGCTAATTAACAGCACCTTAAGACCTTCTCTTCTCAGGTCCCTGTACTATATTATCACTAAAGATGGAATTTCTATTTCTAGTTATTATAAGATATCTGTCACTATAAAACCTAAACACACAGACCGAAGATATAGGCCAATTCTTTGATTTATAAACTAGAACAAGCACACCTAAATCTAATATCAGAGAATCTAAAAATATTCGTGCTCTGTATTATGAACACAAGTACTCCACATATCCCTGTATGTAATTTTTAAGATATTTCAACCTAATATCATATTCAATTCCTTAAATTCACTTTATATTGCTCACTTTTAGTGTTTGCCTAACTGAGGTCAAACCACATCAGCAGAGGAATACTAAGAAAATAGAAATACCTAAAAGGGACAGACTGATCTAGATGTCACAGGGATGAAGAGACACTAAGATTGCTCCCCAGCACCCCTAACTTACACATCTCTCTCCTCCCAATCTTTCCCCATCTTTTCCCAACCTTATGGAGGCTTTCTTGTGTTGGTGAGTTTCGGCCCTACAGTAGTCATGAACAATTATTATTTTCTTCTTGTGTGCATCTTATGCTCTGGGAGGACCTCAAGGACAGAGCTAATATATGTATGTCAAATGGCTTCTAACCAGATTGCAAATTTCTAAATTTCAACGATCAACTTTATTCTTTCACATGCAGTGCTCTGCATTGTGCACTGTGGGAGACCCCCCAAAATGAATAACACCCCTTCTGGCTGCAAGGAATTCACATTTCTCTTGGGATTGGGAAGGGGGGAGTCAATAAGTAACTATAATAAAGGCAATGCAGTTAATAGAGATGCAAGCACCATTACGTCTAAGGAAGATGCAGTTCATACAGATGGGAGTGATCAAGAAAAGTTTCTTGGAAAAGATGACTTTTAAGGCAAATGCAAAAGGATGAGTAGGATTTAGAGGCCAGTGAATGAGCAAACAGCATTTCGAGCACAAGTCATGATGCCAAATCATGGAAGTGTGCTCGCTGTGGATCCATTTCTCCACAAAGTACCTCCATGACCTGCCAGGACTAACCTAGATTACTCAAAAAACATGGGCTTCAGTGGGATTATGTCTGAACTAAGACATTTCTTTGGTTTTGTTTGTTAGTCTGATTTTTGTTTTGTCAGTAAACACATTGTTAACCTTAAAAACAAAGCAGTCAGCAATTTTTTCGGGAAGAATAGATTTACTCAGGAATATCAAGAACTGCAATTCAGAACATGTAAACTACAGCAAACCGTAGACAAATCCAACACACAAAGGAGAGGGATATTACTTTATGGAGAAGAAGGAGGTTGGCAGGGGTCGTTCATCAAAGAAAAGCAAGAGTTCAGGGTGATAATGGTTTCTCATTAGCAGAGTTGCAGGGGTGACTTATTTTTTGTAGGAGATACGATGGACATCATTCTCTATTGGGAGGGAATTAATTAATAATTATTTGCTGCTGACAATTCTTCCTATTACAGAGGTTTGAGAGATTAGGCTCCCTCTGCTGTCTCCCCCTCCGGCCTCCCAACTCCATCTGAGTGAGGTTTCCCTTTATTAAATTTCACGATGTCAAAATTTTCATTATGTACATTTTGATTTCTGAAGCTTTCAAGTTTTGCTTATAAGGCAAGACATTCTGATTCTTTTGTATTTTTTTTTTCTTATCAGATGATCTGGTCTCATACTTTGCCTGCTTAAAGTTTTGTTTATGAATCTACTTTGGTTTGACCTCTTCTCGGGCTTTGTCTTCCGAACACCAGCTTTTAGTTTTCAGGCTTGGTACAGCTGTAACAGATTGGTGTTATGTTCCTGCCATTTGCTACCCCTCTCTTCGAGATCATACTTCACTGACTGACCATAGGACCCACTTTGATCAACTAAATATGGGTAGCTATGCACAAGCCACTTCTTTAAAAAAAAAAAGATTTATTTATTTATACATAAGAGAGAGAGAGAGAAAGGGAGAGGCAGAGACATAGGCAGAGGGAGAAGCAGGCTCCTTGCAGGAGCCAGATGCAGGACTCGATCCCGGACTCCAGGATCACGACCTGAGCCCAAGGCCCAACTGCTGAGCCACCCAGGCATCTCCCACCAACACAAGCCACTTCTAATAGAAGCCTCAGGAGTTGTCATGTGGTTCTGCCATCATTATTTGTTCCTCTGTCCCCAGATTACACAGTCCAAGAAAAGCACTGCTTCTTCAGTCAGTGTGGATCCTGGCATGAAGAAGACTCCTTGATCAGAGCCACAGGCAACCAGGAGTTGACATGTTATGTCAATGAGAAGTTTGGTTTTGTTTGTTTGTTTTAATTTATTTATTCATAGAGACACAGAGAGAGAGAGGCAGAGACACAGACAGAGGAGAAGCAGGCTCCATGCAGGGAGCCTGACTTGGGACTCGATCCCGGGACTCCAGGATCAAGCCCTGGGCCGAAGGCGGCACTAAACTGCTGAGCCACCCGGGCTGCCCAGTAAGGCTTTGTTTTATAAGCCGCTGAAATTTTGGGATCGTCTGTTAAGCAGCATAACCTAGTACAACCTAGCTGTTACAGTAGCTCATCAGGTAAAGGCCAGTTCGAGGGTAATTTTCATTTCCTCAAGTGCTTTTTTCATCTGTCTTTTTCTTCAGCTTAAAAGTACCTCTCTGGCCTGCAAGGAAATGAACAGTCTTAGGCAGGGCCCTTATCCTACCTCGTGAAGTTTTTAGAAGCCCTTGTGCTAGGTAGGATCCTCA